AAGGAGCATCATTCCTCACAACCCTCACTTTGGTGTTTTAATTTGGGATTTTGATTGTTTAAGTGCCTTGACTCTTCTTGTGGACAAGTTGGAGGCCTCTGAATTATAGCTGTGTCCATAGATTTTTGCTGAAAATTGAAATGGGATGTCTACAGCAGTTTCCTAGGACTGTCATAGCAAAATAGCAAAACTAGGTGGCTGAAAATAACAGAAATGTAGTTCTAGAGTCTAGAAGTCTATAATCAAGGTGTCAATAAAGCCATGCATGCTCCCTCCAAATGGTCTAGGTAAAGGTCTGTTCTTGGTCTTTTCAGCCCTGGCAGGTGCTGGCAATCCTTGATGTTCATTGGCATTCTTGGGATTCCTTGGCTTGTGGCTGCATCCCTCCAGTGTCCTCCTCTATACCACGTGGTATTCTCTTCCTGTTAGAAAGACGCCAGTTACTGGATTAAGAATCAACAGAACCCAACAGGGTCTCATGTGAACTCATTTACAAGCAGAAAGACTGTATTTCCACATAAGCTCATGTTCACAGGTTCCATGTGGACACAAATGCGAGATGTGTGAAAAATTGCTGGAGCCAGTGCACTGTCAGATCAGATGAGCACCAAGCAGCAGCACCTCTCTATACCCTCAGGTCTTATACAAACTGAGACCATGCTGAAGTGTCTCTCACTCCCAAGTGCTCTATCCTTGCTCTCCTGAATGTCCCTCAGATAGTGAAACTCCCTTCTTGAGGCACAAGCCCAGGATCTAAGGCCTTGTATCCACACTTACCAGTTCGCCATCTCCTGTTATACCTTGCACCTTCTTTCTTCATGGTTTTACTTCTGACAGCCTCACCATCTACTCTGCCTTCCACAGACTGTCATTTAATTTTCGATCTTTTTAGCCAGCATGGAACCTCCTTGTCTATACCGAGGAACCAGATGTCTGAACAGGGCCTGTATCCTACATGTATAGACAACCAGTGAGAATGAAAACACAATTTTAAGTTGCATTTCTGTAGGTAAAGCCTAAGGAACTGCTTATCCCATAAAACACTGTTCTCCTGGGAAATACTGCCTCCACTCCCACCTAACTCTGGGTGCAATGGAGCCACAGCTGCCACCATCTTACCCGATGCCCCGCCAGGAGAAGTGGACTGGGGTAGACATCGGGATGCCAGCTGGGCCCTTAGATGTGATCTGAGATTGTTCAGACTTCTGGGAAGTCATCCATATCCATCCTTTCCCATCCTTACTCTCAAAAGAGGTGGAAGATGCCAGCAGTCACGTCTTGTGTTGTGTGAGAAGCCAGTCCTCAGTAAGAGAAAACAAAGCTGAAACAGACCAGAGCTGAACAAACGGAGAGAGGATCCTACCAACACTGTAGGACCTGGGTTGAATCTCTGTCATGCCATATTCCCTGGATTCTGTGAATAAGCAAATCCCTCCCCTTATGGCACAACCAGGTACACTTGCATTTTTCTATGACCTAAGGAGTACAACCTTGGTGACATGTAAAAGCTGCAAAGGAAGATATCAGACATTGTTAGGGGTTGAATGCTATTTAATATAACACCCTCACCTCAAAAAAAATTACTTTTAAAAGATGTGCTGGGCCCCGGGGACTCCGCGCCGAGCGAGCGAGGTGGCGACGGGCGGAGGAGGCCCTGCGCCGGCCCACCCGCCAGGCTG